TATATGTTCACGACATTCATGCATGGTTTCATGGATTGATGTCTTATTTAGAATTTTGAAATACAGTTATACTATAATGATATGATAATAACTTTTTTTTAGATAAATTACGCTTTGCTCTCTTAATATTTGATCATTTTCTCATTTTAATCTCTATAATTTATTTTTTCTCACATATTTCAAATTTTTCTTACTTTACTCATAAAGTTAATTTTTATTCAAAATTAAACATAAAATGCCATAATAACTGTCACGTAACATAAAAAATATATTATTATATTAGAATTTAAATTTATGTCAGAAATGTGAGTTATATGTAATAAAATATTTATGTCACGTGAGCATCAATGAGTCGTTTTCTATTTAATTTTGAACATAAATTAGCTTTAAAAGTAAAGTGAGAAAAACTTTAAACATGAGGAGGAAAGTGAGAAAAAACAAATTTCAAGAATCAAAGTGAAAAAAAAGCCAAATGTAAAGGGCCAAAGTGTAATTTACCCTTGTTTTTTTTCATAGAAATCACATTGATAGACTTCTGTTTTTAAAACGATGATGAAAAATTCAAGACTGCCATGTTATTTTTAAACAGGTGATGTGTTTCTCCATGTGCACATTTTAACAAGAGACAAAAATAAATAAAAGAAAAAATAATCAATAAAATTTTCCCTAGCATCTAAAAAAAAAAATGAATAAATCCCTAGTTTGAGTCGTTTTCATCCTCTGCGAGGTCCTAAATTTGAGTCGTTTTGTTTGGGACCATTCCTCTCACATTTAATTTGTGGATAGAATTAAACATAATGACTTATTTTGAAATGATATTTTGCATTGGATTCGTCTACTAAAGATCTTTGTGCTATAATTTTATTATGATAATCTGGTAGTCTAGGACTAAAATTGAATAAAAATGATGTTACTTTATGATGTATGGTTTAGAAAAAATGCAACATTTATTTCAAAATAAAATCTTTTCATTATATATTTTACTGATGTCTCACAGCAAAATCACAGGAGAAAAACCATTATAGAAATACCTTTTTTTTTTTTTTTTTGCAATACAAATCTCATCCCAAGAAAAGATGTCTCACTTTTTTCCAAGACAAGATCATATTGCACATGAAAGATAAAAGAGCGTTTGAGACAGTTACCGTGGATCACAAATTCTAAATTTGTTGGTTGTCATTCTTCATAGAAGGCTTCTTAACGACTTTGGATATAATTTATCAACAAACTCAATTTTAGGACAAATTACGTTACAATGAATGTCTTTAAATACACCTCAAGCCTTCAAAAAATTTATTTTTTTATTTCTATGTTAACAATAAGAATCAATTTCATTCTTGATTTACTCTAAAATCATATTAATCCGATCCATAAACATCCTACGCCATGTAACCTAGTTCCATAGAGTTTGGATGACAAATGGGGTACTGAAAGACCTTAGAGCATCTCTAATGGAGCTGCTATATCACTTGCCAAAGCTAAAAAATGACGGGAATGGCAAAAAGTTGTCTCCAACGGTCCGCTATTTCTCTTGCCAAAGATTAGGGATGACAATGGATAACCTACCCTGTGGGTATCCATGGAGACCCAACCCAAATACATGGGTTTTCCCCTCTTTTTCTTATCCATTGGGTAGGGTAGGTGATATTCTTTAAATATCCACAGGGGATGGGTTGGGGATGGGTACCCACTAATTTCCCCATATGTTTTTTTTTTTTTTAAGATTCACAACCAAAACTAAATATACATTCAATCTTTTTTTTTTTATCTTATTTATTTTTTCAGGTTCACAACCAATTTATTTATTTATTTATTTTTTTTAAGATCCACAACCAAAGCTAAATATACATCTAATTTTTATTTTTATTTTTAAGGTTCACAACCATTTTTTTTTAATTTTTAAGATTCATAACCAAAACTAAATATACATTCAATCTTTTTTTTTTTATCTTATTTATTTTTTCAGGTTCACAACCAATTTATTTATTTATTTATTTATTTATTTTTAAGATCCACAACCAAAGCTAAATATACATCTAATTTTTATTTTTATTTTTAAGGTTCACAACCATTTTTTTTTAATTTTTAAGATTCATAACCAAAACTAAATATACATTCAATCTTTTTTCTTTTAATTTTTTTTTTTTTAAGGTTTAAGGTTCACAATTTTTTTTTTTTTACCAAATTCAGTTGAAAACAACAGAATTAATCTAGTGGGGAACCCATTTTTCATAATCAAACCCAATTTTCAGAATCAAGCAAATTTCAGAATGAAATTGACAAACCCAAATTCGGTTTCTCAATTTTTTTTTTATTTATTTTTTAATTCATTTATCACCAAATCAGTCAATCCAAATTAGATGGTATGCATTCATAATAAACCAAAGCAAATCAGATAATTCAATATCACAATAAAATAATCGGATGAACAAAAATTGATGGATGAAGATTGAGAGGGAGACAGATATCAAAACATATAGATATATATATATATATATATATAGATACCAGATTTGATGGATGAACAAAAAAAATTGATGAAGACAGATATCAAAAATTGATGGATGAACAAAAATTGATCAAAAATAATAATTAAGAAAATTTGAAAAAAAAAAATACCAGATTTAAATCTTTTGAAGATCCGGTTTGAATCCATCAGCAGCTTTGAGTTTCAAAAATCACAATCACCTCAGATCCACATCAACAACCAAAAAAATAAAGCAAAAATCAACACATGAAGACTGAGAGGGAGACAGATCAAAACATATATATATATATATATATATATGTATAAGGATGAAGATCATACCAGAGACAGAGAGTACACAGATCGGAGGTGAAGATTGAGAGGGAGACAGATCGGAGCTTCATAGGTAGAGAGAGAGAGACGTTTCGATCATGGAGGAGGAGAAGGGACTGGTTTGAGGAGATGGAGGGAAGGCAGAGAGAGGGAGAGGAAGAGTGAAACAAGAGAGAGGGAGAAGAGAGATTGAGAGAGTGAGGGGGAGACATAGTGAGGGACTAAGAAGGAGATCGAGTGAGAGAGTAAGAGAGTAAGAGAGGGGTTTCGATCATGGAGGAGAAGGGGGAGAAGGGGTTTTGATCATGGAGGAGAAGCGGGAGTGGTTTGAGAAGAAGGAGACAGAGTGAGAGAGTGAAAGGGAGAGAGAGTGAGAGAGAGGTTTCGACCATGGAGAAGAAGGAAGAGTGGTTTGTGCTCTATTTGGTTTCGACCATGGAGGAGAAGACAGAGTGAGAGGGAGAGGAAGATAGTGGATCATTCTAGATGTATGGAGGCAGACGGTGATGCCTCAATGTAATAAAGAGCCGTTGGGCTTTGTTTGGTTTGTTTAACAAAAAAAAAAAAAATTATTTTTTACAACAGCTCTTTCAAACAGCTATTTCCCAAACGGTAATATTTTTAATTTCTATAAATTGAAACCCTCCATATCACTTTTATTTCACACAAACATTTACATTTACATTTAATTTTTCTTTTCTCCTCTCTTCTTTGAACCTGATTTCACAGCAAACCTCTTAAATTATTTTCTTTTTAGTTTTTTTATCCAATCACTATGGAAGGTTCATCAAAACAAAGAGAGGAAAATCATTCACCATTGAAGAAGATATGGCAATTTGTAAATCTTGGTGTCACATTTCGAAAGACCCAATTGTTAGCAATTCGCAATTGTATGCTCACTTTTGGGAGAGAATTTACTAAAATTATTGCTTGCTTCAAAATGATCAGTCCAGAACACAATTGTCTATTCAATCTCGATGGGGTATAATCATGAAATGTTCTAACAAATTTCGGGGGTGTTTAGCTCAAGTCGAAAATCTTCACCCAAGTGGGATTTCTCAAGTTGATATAGTAAGTTTTTATCTTCAGTTATTATTTTTAGTTTCTTATTCTGGTATCGTATAAAAATTACGTAATTAAATAATATTTCAATTTTTTTTAAACAGATGCTTCAAGCAAAACTGTTATACCATCAAGATGAAAACAAACATTTCGCTTTTGAAGATTGTTGGCCAATATTGCAAGACAATATCAGGTGGCAAGATGTAACTCCCACGAATACGGTAAAGTCAATGATGCATACAATGTTTACCCCTAATTTAGCCCCCAATTCTCCTATGGAAAACTGCATTTCTCTTGAAGACGACAACAGTCCAAGTGTTGGTAACAATCCAATTGTTGGTGAGGGCAGTGTCTCTGCAAAGGGTGAAAGGCCGATGGGTAGAAAATTTGCAAAAGAATTATTTCAGAGAAATCAAGTCATTGAAGCTGAAGTCCAAAAAATGAGTACACAATTAGACACATTTAACCAATACCTTGCTGAGAAAGAAAAGAAAAAAGAAGAAAGAGAATAAAAAAGGATTCAAGCACTGCAGGAGATGAAAGAACTTGAGATGAAAAAACATAAGTTTAAGATGAAAAAGGAAGAACACCAAATAATGACTACGAACATTTTTCATTTGGACTCTCAGATGAAAGCGTATTACACAATACGAAAAAATGAGATTTTCGCCAAGTGGTCCTCAACTGTGAGCAGCCCAAGTTTTTATTTCCCCCTACCTCCTAATGAATAATTACGGGATAATGTATTTTTGAAATTTGCAATATCATTTATTTTTTGATGTAATTGTTAGTCTTTATTTGCAATGTAATTTTTATTTTGTAATGAAATTTCATGTTTTTTTTTGTGAGTATTTTGTACTTCATAATGTAATATTATAATAAAAAATAAAATAAAAAGACATTAAATGAAGAACATTTTATTAGAATAAAAAGACATTAACTGACATTAAATGACATTAACTGTCATTAAAAAGATAAAATGCAAACTTAATCTAACTTTCCAGCTCGGGACCATAAGTGTTCAATTAGATCATTACGAATTGCATTATGGGCTTCAATAGATCTAATCCTTTGCCGATCCAACATAAATTGAGCATACTCCTCATTCAGATCACGTGACACTTGACAACCCAAATTACTAGGTATCAGTCTCAAGTTGTGCTGCACTGCGTTCATTTTCTGGAATATCACGCTGCTCTTCAATGATCATGTTGTGCAAAATAATGCACGTCTTCATGATGTAGTACAAATCCTTATCACTCCAACCTCTAGCTGGCACTGTGACAATATTAAATCGTGCTTGGAGCACTTCAAATGCCCTTTCGACATCTTTCCGACATGGCTCCTGCATCCTCGCAAATAGTTGTCTCTTTGTGCCTTGAGGTTGAGATGTTATTTTCACAATCGTTGCCCAACGAGGATAGATAACATCAGTAAGATAATACCACATGGTGTACGCATGATTATTGATGGTGTAGTTGGCAGCAGGGGCACGTCCTCTAGTTAATTCAGCAAATAAAAGCGACTTGTCAAGAACAGTAATATCATTTAGAGAGCCAGGCATGCCAAAGAAAGCATGCCAAATCCATAAGTTATAGGAGGCAACTGCCTCGAGTACAACTGTTGATTTGTGATAGTGTCCAGTGTAAGCACCAGCTTGGGCACTCGGACATTTATCCCAACGCCAGTGCATACAATCCAAACTCCCTAACATTCCAGGAAACCCGCGTTGCTCTCCTTCTTGCAATAATCTGCTGCTTCATTTGGAGATATTAAGTAAACGGCTTCATAGGTAGCAACAATTGATCTGGTAAAAAAATTTAAGGCGGCAATTGCAGTACTTTTGCCGATTCTAATGTACTCGTCTACAGCATCAGCAGGCACCCATACTGGAGGATCCGAAGTGCTTCAGTCATCTTCTCTACACCGGATAATCCAAGAGCACCAGTGGCATCACGGGTTTGGATGAAGTACTCATTCACTTTGTTGAATATCGTGTAAGATACTAACAAACAATGACCACCTCATTCGAAAACGTCTTCGGAAGTATTCTTCTGGATAGATAGGATTATCTGCAAAATAATCTCTATAAATTTGTTCGTCGCCTTTGACCCTCTCACAATTAATGTATCGACAACCACGTGTGGAACCAACACGTTTGGTTTGTTGGTTTAGGCTCAACGTCTGTAATCTTTGTTGTTGCGCTGTGAATAGTTGCATCATGATGATATCATCATCAGATGATAAAGATTCATCAAAATCTCCATTCAATATGACTTTAGTCAAATTGTTCATTGTAGGTGGATGGGTGAGTGGGTGAATATGAAAATTGTAGAAAATCTTCTTGGTGGGTACAGAGAGTTTTGAAGATATGAAAATGATGGGTAGGTGAATATGAAAATTGTAGGAAACCTTGTGTTATATTTATAGAGAAAATTGTGGATGGATGAATGATGGATGGTTGTTGGGTGGGTGGATGAATAATGGATGGTTGTTAGGTGGATGGATGAATAATGGATGGTTGTTGGGTGGGTAGATGAATAATAGGTGGTTTTTTGGTGAATGGATGAATAATGGATGCTTGTTGGGTGGATAGTTGTGAGTGAATGAATGCTGGGTTAATAATTGATGGCTGTTGGTGGTTGGTTGTTGGTGGGTAATTGGTGACTGTTTATTTTTTATGTATAGTTAAAAAAATTTATTAAATATGTAGTGATATATTTTTTGGTGGGGTGAATTAATCAAACAAATTTTTTTTTCCAATTTTTCATTTTTTAAATTTTTTGTATTTGTCTAATTGGAAATAATATAAATATATAATTTTTTTTAACAAACAGGTAAAAAAATATCACAAAAGACAAAAAAATAAATAAAAATAAAATCACAAAAAAACCTATATTCAAACAACATCTAAAAATTTGAAGAGAAAGTTAGTTGAGATTTGTTAAAATAATAAATGACTATTAAAACATCATTACTATAATTTGACAAAATAAAACTATTTATTATTAAATTATAATAATAACAATAATATTATAGTAATAATAATTAGAGATGCTCTTCGATTGCGTGGAGTCAAGCCATACCAATTAGTCCCCATTTCTTTTGAATCACCCATTTTTAATGATGTGGGACCCAATTACTTGATAAAGTTCATATTTACTATAGTCCGTCTTTTTTTTGGATCATGATCACCAATTTGATGAATCATGTGGGACCCAATAATTGTTAATCGATGATGTCTCCACATCATTTATACATTCATTCCATATGTATGCATCTCCAAATCTCTTCATACCAATGGCACCATATTAGGTGCCCAAAAATGAAGGAACATTCCAAACTAACAAAAACGACATTTTAATTCAAAGATGTTTGTGTTTATTAAACAATGCATAAAAGCAAAAGTTAAAAAAAAACTAAATAGCCTATTAGAAGCCGCCTCTCTTTTGGCTCTTAAGGTATGGGTGACGATTTTCTCTCATCCTATTCTATATTATATTTTTTTGTCTTAGGCCTCGTTTGGGATGCTGCTTTTTTAGTCAATTAGTCAAAAAATTACTAAATTAGTCAATTAGCCAATTAGTCATACCAAAAAGTCAATAATTACGGCTTCTCTCTACTTTTTGCACAACTTTTCGTAATTAGTCAAAAAGTCATCACAAACATACAAGTTTTTTTTACCTACCTTTTTAGCCAATTAACCAAAAATTACTAAATTAACATGTTCCCAATAAAAGCAAAAGTTAAAAAAAACTAAATAGCCTATTAGAAGCCGCCTCTCTTTTGGCTCTTAAGGTATGGGTGACGATTTTCTCCCATCCTATTCTATATTATATTTTTTTGTCTTAAGACAGATTTTATTCTACTATCATGTGCTATATCCTGCATACCTTCTCAGAATATATACAATATATAATTTAATTTGTTTTTAAATGTAACAAGATTAAAATATTGACATATTACACTTAAGATTTATTTTAACTTATTTAATAATTCGTAATATATCATATTATTTTTTATTTTTATTAGTATTATCATTCTTAAAATTACAAAATCAACTCATCCTAATATCTTTCCGATTTATTTTATCCCCGACATGACACGGGAGAAGGGTGAAGTACTATAAATTCACCGCTTTCCCATCCCATTGCCATCTCCTAACTTTTGATAAGACACACCGGTCTTTTTTGACAAGTAAGTTAAAAGTCAATTTATTAACTTTTTAACTTTTTTGAGTCATATTATTTTTATACTTTTTGTAATTTTTTTTCAAAAAAAATCAAACAGTCAGCTTTAACCTACTTTTCAAAACAAAAATGCTTCAGACACCCACTAGGGGTCGACCCCTAGTGAGGTGTAGCTCTGCCATTGGACCAAAAAAAAAAAACTATTGGCCTCTGTGTGTGTATGTATCTCCATTCCCTCTTCTCTCTTCTCTCCCTCTCTTTCTCTCTCTCCTCTCCTCTCTCTTTCTCCCTCTCTCTCTTTCTCCCTCTCGAATTTGAGCTCTGCAGGTCGAAAATGGCAGAAAAAAAGAAAAAAAAAAAAGGCTAATGCCCAAAACGACGTCGTTTTGGGTATTAGGGGCATTCGGGGCACGAAAATTCGAGGCACAAATCTTTATTCGTACTATAAATTCACTGCTTTCCCATCCCATTGCCATCTCCTAACTTTTGATAAGACACACGGTCTTTTTTGACAAGTAAGTTAAAAGTTAATTTATTAACTTTTGAGTCACATTATTTTTGTACTTTTTGTAAGTTTCTTTAAAAATATCAACAAAAAAAAAATAAAAAAAATTAACTTGTAACCTACTTCTCAAAATAGGCTGCCTTCCTTTATTTATTTTTTTTCCTTCATTTTTAATAAAGTGGCCAAAAATCTCATCACATTGCATATTTAATCATAAATCAATCAAATTGAATTACAGGCAACAAATTCTAGTGCTTTAAGATAGGCGGCCCTGATGATCTATTATAATCACACAGTAGGTCACGTGTATGATCTAATTTGATTATACCAATTTGTTTGATTCTGATTTTAAAAAATAATTTTTAGAAAATTTTATTTTTTTATTTTTTATATTTTAATGTTTTCAATAATTTTCTAAATATTTTAAATAATTTTTTTTTAATTTTTAGACACACATAACATAAATATACTTAAAAAGTATACTATTAGTGAAAAAAATCTTTAAAAATACACTAAATACCAAAAAATATGAAAATTCAGTACTTTTTTCATATTTTTTGTGTATTTATTAATTTTTTAAAATATTTTTTCACAAATATTTTATTATTTAGATACATCTAAATAAGGTGCATTTAGATATAAATAAGTTGCTTCTAAGAAAGTAAAAAAAAAAATTGCTTAAAATTAAAAAATTATTCACTAAAAATAAAAAAATACACAAAAATAAAAAAATTAAATTTTAAAAAACTGAATTTAAAAAATTAAAATCAAACTAACTGATTAATTTTTTTTTATATCTCTAACTGGATCAGCCATTACCACCTTCAGTATTGTCACTTTACAACCACTTGCAGCTGCCCTCACCTGCCTTATCACAAGGACAACAAAAAGCACCATTAGTTTTAAAGTTACAATTAAATACAACATATTTTCTTATAATTAAAAAAAAATCATAAAAAAAAACAATAAATAAAACATATCAAAAAAAATCAAGAAGTAATATGTCATGTGATCAAAACAACAAAAACAATCGTACAATCAAAGGAACGATGAAGTAGGGGAGCATGGGTCCCATAGTTGCCTTTAACCTAACACAAGGAGACTTTTAGCCAAGCCTGCAAGCCACCACCAGCTAAATTGCTATTATTGCACATTAAACGGCTTTGACATAATACTTGGTCACCTTTAATATTCTAGGACCCACACCAAGATTAGTCAGAAAAAAGATCTTTAATTATATTATAAAAAATAATAATAATAAATGTTACAATATCACTCGGGCTTCTCTCCTGAGAGGGTGAATTGTGATCTGGAGTTGGACCGAGGTAACGGCCGAGTAAGTTGAGGGCCCAACGGTGCATGGGTCCGAGATGATCGATTTTTTGCCCAAAGTGGGCTGCCAGAACTTGGGCCGGGTAGAGTACGGGCTGAGTGTCACCCCGGACCGGACAGAAACTGCTCGGTAAGGCAGTGCTCGGTCGGACTAGGATGCTCGGTCTGAGGATGGCCAAAGCCGGATTGGCCGAGTGACCGGCGCCCAGGAAGGCGTGGACAACCGAGGAAGTTGAGTGGCCGGTGCCCGGAAAGGCGTGGTCAGCCGAGGAGACTGTATGACCGGCAGGAAGGCCGATCAAAGTAAGTATCCGGGCTAGGCTCGGCCGGGATGCCGCTTAGCCCGGTCCTCCGTGTGTTTATCCAGTTAGGCGCTTGAAGTATGAAGCATGGTATGACCGAGGTAGGCCGAGCTCCAGCTGTGATGACAGGCAGTTGAGATTAGGTGATGAATGGCATGGTTTATGCTGACAGATGGGATAGCAGAGCCACGTGTCAGGAGATGACAAGGAGTGGATATGGGGCTCAGTAGGTATATAAGCATGTCTGCGCCCCCCATATGCGAGACACGAATATATCTGTAAGGACTTCTTACACTAAAACACTCTCTCCCTTCTCTCTATCCATCCTAAGGTGTGTGCTAACTTGACCGTCGGAGGGTTTTTCCGGCCACACACCGCCGGGTAGCTCACCGTTACTTGCTCGCAGGTGATCGGACATCGACGGAGCTCGGAAGAAAGGAATACGGGCTTGCCGGAATATTTGCTCCCCGTACATCTCCAATCCAATTTTAGGCAAGAGTGTATTCTTGGATTTCGTGAGCCCATCATAGAATCTACATCGATAATTCAAATTATTTAGTATTTAAAACTTATCGAGTATTTCATTCTTATAAAAAATCATATTGATTGAATATCGATAGTCACTTAATCATATCAAATTTATGTTAACAATAACTATAATTTTAAAAATAAATTGTTAACACAAATATAACTGATTAAATGGTTATTGATATTCGATCAATGTGATTTTTTTATAAGAATAAAGTATTTGACGAGTCTTACATATTGAATAATTTGAATTATCGATATGCGCTCCATAATGAGTCCATAGAAACCCAACAAGACACTCTAGTTGAAAAACCCAATAAGAGACAAGCTGAATCCTTATTAGTTTCTATATTATTTACGCGCAATACAAATTAATGCTCATGTTATGGATAACATATAGATGATTCCCATGCTATGACATTTCAACACATCCAATTA